CATTGTCATGTCATTGTCATGTCATTGTCATGTCATTGTCATGTCATTGTCATGGTCATTGTCATAATCATTGTCATGGTCATAGTTATTGTTATTGTCATTGTCGTTATTTCTATCATATTATTATTATAATCATCATCACATTTATTGTCATTGTCCTTTTCATCGTTGTTATCATTATCATTTTCTTTGGTGTTTTTCTTATCGCTGTATATTTTAATCACATCGAAGTTTCCTACACGGTGAAAGTTTTCACCCCTCAAACAAGCATCATCACGTCAGAGTTCCGTCTGTTCACCCTGCTCGTCGGAAGCGGTGGAAAAATGACAGAAGACTTGTTGTTACATGCCCCAAGGACAACCCCAGGGTAGGCTAATAACCAATGATTTCTTTAGATTGCAAAATCAATTCTCCTTTCTGCCTGCCACACATTCCTTCTAATGTCAGTATTCCCTATAGTTTACATTTTTCTCAATTCTCATCACCTCTGTGTTTGACAGCACAATAACAACGGAAAGGAGAAATTGTCTTTTGGTCATACGTGAAAGTGAAAGTATTAAAACTCCTTGATCTAAGAACCACTTCAAAGACCTTTAAAATCTGAAAACATCGACATCGTGTTTTGTTACAACTCAGTGGTACATTAGTGGACTGCGTAGTTCTAAGGATTTTTATGCCGCTCCCAGTGGAGGACTTTAATTATTTCTTTCTCTTGACAAAACAAAGAGCAACTTGCCATATTTTCCTTTATGATGCATTATTAATCTCGGTTGCCTTTTTGGCAGTATTCTTCGCAATCGTTGTTGGTGGGGCAGAGAGTACGTACCTAAACGACACCAAACAACGGCTGCAGAGGTGACTACCATTCTGGAGAAGAACCCATAGGCAGGGTGATCTCAGAGAACTTGAATGCGCGATAATTTCTATAATGCTTTCTCAATGTAATACGTTCAAAACTAACAAATAGTTATCAAAACGTTCGGAAATATCATGAAGGAACTGAAGATAACCCATAACGAAAATTTGTGTCTTACATCTCAATGCTTGATTAAAATTGATGACTAAAAGTTCACTAATTTTTTTTTTCGCCCTCAGAGTTTCACTCGAATACGAGGTCAGTGGCATTGATGTTGGGGACATCACAGAGGTGAGAATCAGATCAGCCAGACGAATCCAAGGTCAGGCAGGCTGGGAACTAAGAAAGGTACACTAGATGTAATGATGAGCCTTCATTGTTTACGTTCTCTATGCTTTTCCAGTCACCTTTGTAACGCTGTTTTAGTCTCAAAAAGCGTTTTTGTTTTGTTCTGTTTTTTTTTTCTAGGTTGAGGTTACACAGGGTGACCAAACTGTAACTGCAGTATTCAACGAGAACATTGCAGCCTTCGATGGCAGTTGGAAATCTGGTAGGGAAAAATACTTAAGCCTTTGCAGTCTTCATCATCTATTTTAAGTTTCTTTGTACTCCTTCATGGGCGGGGTCTTCCTTAGCGGTGGAGATGGCAGAGTTTCTGGGGGAGTCCTATGGGACTTCTGTCCATTGTGAATCTTGTTGGCTGTTTAGGACAAAGAACCTTCTGAGGGAAGACGAAATAATTTTAAAACTTAATCATATTTGAAGAAATGGCAAATTTGAGTAAAAGCGCGCTTTGAAATGCACTGAAGGAGGCGAAAAAGGAGCCCAAAGTGGTCTGGCAATGTATTTGTGATTTCTAGGAGATATAACTTATGTCAGATCTCATTTTGTGCCTATAGAAGATGAAAGTTCATCTTTAAGCCGACAACTAAACTCACAAAGAAACTATAAAGTTTCTCCTCAACCCCAGTTTCCACGGCGCTAAATGACAATCGTTTCTGTTACTTCCCTGGATTGGATGCAAATCCAACGCAAGAATGTCTTTTTATAATCCCGGGTAGAGAGAAACATTCTGATGATAAACAATGGTAAAGAGCGATATCTAAGAGACAAAGCTTTTTTTCGCTCGTCTCTAATGATCAATAGCCTCATGCGATAACGTATTTTTCAGCCACACCAAGTGAGCCTGAGGAATCGGTCGATGCATAAAGTCATTCTCGAAGAAGGAAACCAGTAGAAGTGCAGAAAGCTAATGATGCAATAATCAGGTTGTCATACATCGTATAAATATAAAAAGTCTAATTGATAAATATGAATAAACTAAATGATTAAATTAAGTCAACCGGTAGTGTTTTAGTTTCCTTTCATCGTGTCTATTTTGATGATATTGAAGAAATGTAAAATGGTTTCCGTGTTTATATAGCCTGATGTAAACACGCGGGAGGTTGGGAGAACACGAGATAAGCGTAGGAAACCACGACGCGAAGCGGAGTGGTTTCCAGCTTATCGAGTGTTCTCCCAACCTCCCGCGTTTTTACATCAGGCTATGTAAACACAGAAACCATTTTACATTTCTTTTATAAAATAACTAATGAAAGAGGAACGAAAACCGTGTTTACATACGCTCATGTAAAATGGTTTTATGGCCAATCAGAGCGCGCGTACTACTTGAATTATTTTATAATTCTACTTCGTTTGTGCCTTTGAGAACTTTTCCCCGATATGAAAATTTAGATAAAATAGCGTAGACATTCTGTCACACATTTTGCGCGAGACTTAACCCTCAGCAGAACACGTACGGAGATCATGACATCGACATCGATGTAATGATGATTCCAGGAGACTGACAATCTGCTGGAATCACACCCCATAACAAGCAACGTGATCGCGACGACGTATATAATTACGTTTCGATGTTATGTAGGTATTAGAGACACTAGTTTACGAACAATTATGTGTCCATTTAGAGGAGCACGATATGCTATGTAAATATCAATCGGGGTTTCGTTCTATATCCTCTACTGTTACAGCTTTGCGTGAGGCAACTTACGTCCGGGCATATAATAAAAATATTGGGAAAATCATCGCGGTTATTTCTCTAGATCTAAAGAACGCTTTCGATATCGTCGACCACATCATTCTTCTATCTAAGCTTGACCCTAATGGTACATCTGGGAAGTCATTAAAATGGTTGCAGTCGTATTTAGAGAACCGCACACAACAATGCTCAGTTAGTGGGTCCTTATCTGACAGCCATGTACTAACCTGCAGTGTTCCTCAGCTAGGGGAGAATACCTTCCTCGGTCCACTGTTATTCTTATCCTATATAAATGAGATTCCAAATTGTTTGTCAAACTGTGAACCGAGGATGTGCGCCGATGACCGCCATCTCACATATGCGGATAATGATTGAGGCAGCATTGAATCAAGTCTTGGTGAGGACCTAAACTGAATGTACATACTTGGTTAACTGCAAAAAAACTTTGAATATGACTAAAACCGAACTTGTACCGCTAGGATCTGGCCAAACGCTAAATACTCTTCTGCTTCTCAATTAGTCACAGTGAACGGCACTTGGGTAAAATAGGCTTTAACAAAAAAATTCTCGGTGTAATTTCTGACAGAAAATACAGTATGTCCGGTCGTTCGGGTGGTGATTCCGGATTCGAGGATGTTCTTACCTTATGAACATGCCATAATCTAGCTGCCCTATGCAGTTCATCCTGCAAGAAAGACATGTAGCAGAACCGGAGACATTGTACGTGAATTACATCGCTGTCACAATACAGCCCACTATCTCTCATATCTTTGGAGTATGTTATCCACCAATCAGCACACCCCTTTCGTAACTGACTCCACCAAGCTTCAATCCGTTGATTTGAAATTGAAGAACCGTACAAAAAACTCTTTTAGTCTGCAAATGCATTAGCAGCCTCTCTTCTGAAAAAACACTGTATTGCTGCCATATTGACGTTCTCTGTACCATTGTCAGCACGGACA